TCGGGGGCGCGGTTTTCTATGCAAACCGCGGGGCTAAGGGGCGGTTATAAAAAAAATTTTTTTGGACCAAACCGCTGGGTGGGGTGGCGGTTTGGTCCAAAACCGCGACCCGACCCAGCGGTTTGGTCCAAATTTTTTTTTTTCCGATCAACTCCTAACTTCGGCCGAAACTTCAAACGAACGTAACTTTGCACTCAGGTATCCGATCGTAGCGATTTTTTTTTCATTTCGTATAACTTTTCAAGGTCTACAACTTTTACTAGGATGAAATTTTCAAAACAGGAATTATTTGTGGATATACGGGACCTTAGGAATAACTTTACCTTTACTTTTCACAAATCCATGTACATTTTGAAATTATGATTATGTAAAAAGTTGTAGATCTTGAAAAGTTATGCGGAATAAAAAAAATTCATGACATTCGGATTTGGGAGCACAAAGTTATGGCCGCCCAAAGTTTGACGAAATAAAAAAAAGACTCGTTCGGGGTTGCAAATGATGTTTTTTCGAGACGAAGGCAGGACTCTGCGGTTTGCGGCTTGCAAGATCTAAAAAAGTTATTCGGATTCAAAAAATGGAGGCCGCAAACTTTTTGAGATCTTGCAAGCCGCAAACTTTTTAAGTAAATTATTTTACAAACAAATAAATTACTTTAACAAAATACAAATTACAAGTGATGATAAATAATATGTACCTTGTGGTCGTTCCAAACGTCTCTTGAATGATGATTTGCTTGATCGTATAAAACTGTCGGATCAATCGGTCCTTGATCAACATAATATCGTTGATTGAAAATATCAACATCCGGCCCAACCTACGATAACATAAATCATTAGCATATAAATTAAATAAATCATTCTAACAACAACAACAATTGGAAAAAATGAGTACGTACCGTTTGATAATCATAAAAAAAAGCCTTCTTCTTGAGCGAAATCGGCCATTCTCTCGGAATCCGGACAGAGGTTCGACGGGTTTTTAGTGAAAACCAAAGAAAAAGTTTTTTGGAGGCAGATCGGACTTAGCCGCAACCAACAAAATAACTAATTCTAAGGTTTTTGGGTGGGGAGGGAGGTGGGTAGAGAGAAATTAGAGGGAGAGAGGGCGGAATGGTTTGGTGTGCAGAAAAGTGAAGGGGGGAGGGGGTTTATATAGTGTACAAACCGCGTGGGGGAGGGCCGTTTCGTAATTTTTCTCCAACGAAAACCGCACCTCGGGGACGCGGTTTGCTTCTCCCGAACAGTCAAACCGTGCCTTGGAGACGCGGTTTGCTTTTCCCAACAGTCAAACCGTGCCTCGGGGACGCGGTTTGCTTGGGCGACGCGGATCGTCGTGCTCGCACACGTTTTGGCCGTTTGATCGCTCTCCCATCGAGCGGTTTAATGCAACGCCACGTGGACACGCGGTTTGACAGCCATGCAAGGTCAAACCGCTCGTTGGAGGAGCGTTTTGTGATGAAAACGCTGCCTAGAGGCGCGGTTTCATTAAAAACCGCTCCTCAGAGGCGCGGTTTTATATAAACGATGGTATTTTTGGAAATTATTTGGAGTGGGTGGTATTTTTGTAATTTTTTTTAAGGTTAAATTGCAAGTTCAGTCACTAGAATTACTTAAAAATTTCACGTTTGCCACTAAAATTAATTTATTCCATCAGTAGTCACTTAAATTAGGTTAACAGTTCAAGTTTGGTCACTGGCCGTTAGTCTCCGTTAACTTTTGCTGATGTGGCGGTCAACTCTTATAGTTGATCGTTAAAAGAGTGACGTGGAAATTAAAAATTAATAAAATAATTTAATTTAATTATTTTTTATTTTCCACCTAATTATTATAAAAATTAAAAAATCCTAATTCCTTTAATTATTATTTTTCCACCGCCCGTCCCCGTTCCTCTTCCCTCCGGTCGACGACCTTTTACGGCCGGCCAAGACCCGCACCATCCCCGTCTTAACATGATCCGCTCCCCGCCGTGGCTAGCGCCTAGCAGAGATGGTCATTAAATTCAAATATGGGCATCAATCGGTCCTCCTCCCTCATCAATTAACCAATATAAAGATTCTCAAACTCCACGACTTTAGTTTCATGGAATCTCCTTGTCTCGATCCAATGGTCAATCTGAGGGTGCTCTCTTTGACCCACTTCGCCGTCGATGGCGGCCGATTTCTCAACGGCATCATCACCGACGCCCCTCTCTTTGAAGAATTGACTCTAGGCTCCATGGATTACTTGAACAGGCGATCAGAAGAAACCGGCATGCTTGAAGTTTGTAACCATCCCAACCTGAAATCCATCACTGTCCGGAGCTGCCCTTCACCCAATTGATTCAGATCACAGGGGCTCACTCTCTGAAAACCCTGACATTGGACGAATCAATTAAAGACGACCTTAACGTATCTCCTCCTCCTTCTAACCTGAAATCGCTATGTATCGACGGTGCTTGCACAATGACGGATGCAGTTCTCAATAACTTGATCTCTTGCTGCTAGAGGTGGCAATTAGGATCCAAATCCATGAATCCAATCCAATCCATCCACCAAATTATCCACCTAATCCAATCCATTTGATCCAAATCCAATTGGATTGGCGGATTCATGGATCAATCCATGGATCCAAATGGCAAATTACAATTTGGTACCTATATTTTTTATATTTTATATTTTGGTACCTAAAATTTATATTTTTATACGAAAAATATCATTGGAAAATTACATTTTGGTACCTAAAATTTTTCATTATGACATTTTAGTACCTAAACTTTTCAAAATTTACATTTTGGTCCAAGCCTTGGATGTTATTTGGATTCATGGATCAATCCACCAATCCATTGGATCCAATCCATGAATTCACCAATCCATTGGATCCAATCCATTTGATCCATGAATCCACGAATCCAATCCACGGATCCATGAATCCGATCCAATTGCCACCTCTACTTGCTGCCCATCGCTTCAGTCACTCTGTTTGTTCAGGCTATCTCGCGTTAAGGAGCTCAAGATTCTGAGCCCCAATCTCGAGAACTTGAAGCTTAGTTGTTGGTCTTGGAGCACCAATCTCGCCAAGACTGTGATGCCGCGGGGCTTGGCCGACCGGAGGAGGTCGTCAACCGGAGGGAAGAGGAACGGGGACGGGCGGTGGAAAAATAATAATTAAAGGAATTGTAATTTTTTTTAATGTTTATAATAATTAGGTGTAAAATAAAAAATAATTAAATTAAATTATTTTATAATTATTTTAATTGCCACGTCGCTCTTTTAATGGTCAACTATAAGAGTTGACCGCCACATCAGCAAAAGTTAACAGAGACTAACGGCCAGTGACCAAACTTGAACTGTTAACCTAATTTAAGTGACTACTGATGAAATAAATTAATTTTAGTGGCAAACGTGAAATTTTTAAGTAATTCTAGTGACTGAACTTGCAATTTAGCCTTTTTTTTAAACAGTGGTAGTTTTGGATTTTTTCCCATAATTTCATAATGTACATGGATTTGTGAAAAGTAAAGATAAAGTTATTCTCAAGGTCCCGTATATCCTCAAACAATTCCCGTTTTGAAAATTTCATCCTAGTAAAAGTTGTAGATCTTGAAAAGTTATCCGAAATGAAAAAAAAATCGCTACGATCGGATACCCGAGTGCAAAGTTACGTTCGTTTGAAGTTTCGGCCGAAGTTAGGAGTTGATCGGAAAAAAAAAAATTTGGACCAAACCGCTAGGACGGGTGGCGGTTTTGGGCCAAACCGCCACCCCACCCAGCGGTTTGGTCCAATATATTTTTTTTATAACCGCCCCTTAGGCCCGCGGTTTGCGTAGAAAACTGCGCCCCCGACAAGCGGTTTTCGTGTAAACCGCAGGGTGGGGTGGCGGTTTTTGAAAAAGATGGTATTTTTGGAATTAGGTGGTATTTTTGGAAATCTTTTTTTAAACAGTGGTACTTTTGGATTTTTTCCAAGATCCCGATGTCGCTTGAGCCAATTATCTAGTACATTTAATTTGCGAAGCATATATATAGCCCATCAAAATTTCACCTTTCAACACAACGGTTAAAATGATAAAGTCTTGGGGTTGTAGTGGCTCAAGTTAGGGTGCATAACCATGGTTATGCACCTATCAATAACCAAATCTGGACCCTTCATTTAGAAAATCCAGATCTAAGGATGAAGAATTAAATGTCATTTTTATTTTCACTAGCTTTTTTAATTGACTCATATCTTTTTCGTTTTAACTCGGATTTTAATTTTTTTTTTGCACAGATAGAACGAGTTCATCGTGCTCTACAAAATGAGATTAATTTTCAATATTTTCTGAGGAAAAAAAAATTCTGGCCTCTCGGTACCAACTGCATACCATATGGTATCTTCTTCGTTTTTAATTCGTTTTTGAAAACGTTTGCACAGCAGGGACGAGTTCATCATGATCTATTGGATCTACAAATTTCTGGGTGAACAAATTACAAGACAAAAAAATACCACACAATACCATACAATACCACCCTGGTACGGGGTGGTATCTTATGGTATCTTATGGTATACAATGTTAAAATTCGTAAAGGACAATTAATATACTTCTACTATCATGTATTCAACCATCCTACAGTTTTGGTTTGTGTCATACCACCATAGTACGCTTTTCAAACCATAGGTATGCTCTTATTTCAATACCAGTCAATACCATATGGTATAGACTGGTATAAAATGACTCAATTTTTTTTGACTTAAAACAAATTAAATTTATCAAAGTGGATATCATTTTGAAGAGCACAATTAATCTGATCTAACTGTGCAAAAAAAAAAAATTTAAATTTTGACTTAAAACGAGTGAGAAATCGTCCGTCAAAGATTAAGGAGGGGAAAATTAAAGACTTTCTAGGAGAGAGAGGATGCTGATGTCATGCTGATGTGGACGGGTTACTCATAGTTACTCATCATAAGGTTACTTACCTGATCCGTTCCCGATAGTAGTTCATCATTAGTAACATGTAACAATGTTGTGCATTAATCTTCTCCGACCTGGTAACTTGACGAAGCACGATATACCTTATCTGCGTATGCATTAGGAACGTAAACGGCATCCATGAGAGAGCTGTGAGTCCGACCATAGAACAAGTAGATAACTGCTCCAATCAGCAGCCATACTGATACTCGGAGGCTCGGAGCCACGTCCCGCCCTTGTATGCATTTCCATTCATTAGAGGGTGAAAAATGGGAAAGATCAATGCTTTCTTTGCTTAAATTGAGAGATACATTATTTTATTCTGCCGTTAATATTAACTCACCCCAGATTCACCAGCAAGTACGTATTGACAAGAATGCAAGCAACTGGTAGGAATTGAACGAAAGGGCAAGTGAAACCTGGAAAGATTTCGACAATGGCACTGGGCAGTCAATGACTCAATGTCATGGTGTGCCTCCCATTATCCTGAGCTATCAGACCAACAAAAGAAGACCTCCACCCACTATACAAGATGTGAAGCGTAGAATCCTGGAGAGAAAAAACACAATGTTCAAAATCACAAGAACTGGTGCAGGGTAGATAACATTGGTAGTAATGAATCCCTTTCACATCTGATATTCATAAGTTCGAATATGATGCACTAACACAGGCTTAGAGGCAACCAATTGGGGTTTCAAAAGCAATTGTGGGGATATCAATTGGGGTAGCATTCAATACGAATCAACGGAGAGCAGTACCTAGATCAATTTGTTTGTGACAGATACAAGTTCTAATCGAAGTCCCTCCACTGTGTATGCCTTCACCATGATCAAAGAACTTGACGGGATCCTTAAATTTCAAGCTAGAAACATCCTCAACATCACCACCACCAAGCAGCAAAGGCGAAGAAGCATCAATAGACTCATGAAATGATGAGGCAAGGGGGACTACATCAGGTGGAACGTATCTCAGTATCAGGACAGAAACCGCAACAGCAGTGAACGCAAGTATTGTACCCACACTCACCTGTTAAAAAAAAAAGAGAAGGTGAATGAAAGTTCTAGTATTCATATTCACAAACTTGCAGGAATTTTCTTGACAATCCACTCACCATCCCTGCTAACTGTGAAACATCCATGAAAAATGCAAGGGCTGTAGCAAGAATCCCAATCACTATCGTGCTCTTTACAGGAACCTGGGTGTGTTTATCAATGTCTGAAAAGAATGACGGTAACAATCCATCTCTAGCCATAGCCATGAACATCCTGGGCTGAAAGGAAATGATGCATGTTTACTTGTTACCAATTACAGGAAGACAACCACAAATCTTATTGTCCAAATTGTTCAGGAGTGGCAAAATCATATTTACCGGAAGTTGCCTAGGGCTTCCATATTAGTTTGCATAAGGGAACTGATATGTTACCTGTGGAAGAAGTGAACCCATGAGACTTGCACATAGAGCAGTTACTGCCCCAGCTGTTATTATGTACCTGCCAAACGAAACATTACGGATGAGATTATGGACACCGCTAGAGCAGGTGGCCTAAAAGTTGAAGGAGTTGGACATTCTTATTAGATAGTTTCATGCTTACACTGCCCACTGCATCCCATATGAAGCAAAAGCTGAAGTGATTGGTGTGTCTGGATCAAGTGCATAGTATGGCAATAACCCAACAACGACAACAGAAACAAGCATGCATAAAATACAACATATAGATAATGCGATTCCCATACCAATAGGCAAATCTTTTTTCGGATTTTTCACCTGTCCTAGAAGGAAACCATAGAAGAAAACAATGTTAATGGAACCCACTGTTCCACATCTTTAACTATTTTCTTCCTGTTTTACACAAATCAAACACTTTTTAATCAGTGTTCATGTAATGTACCTCTTCAGCTGTGCTAGCTACTACATCAAAGCCAATGAACGAAAAGAACAGAATCCCAGATCCTGCAAGCATCCCATTAAATCCGAAAGGAAGATGCCTACAATAAGCAGAAAAACAGGGTTGGTAAAAACTGGACATGTCAACTTAAGGGCATCCCCAGAGAAGGTATACCATATTATACTGGTTCTTTACCCGGCAGCCAGATCATATCCAGGCCAGTTGTTATGATAAAGATGTTGAATAAAGTTACCAAATCAGGATTGCTCTAAAAGAAGAAAGAAGACAGCCAGAGACAGCTCAACCTTCCATATTCATTCGGCTTCAAAATTCAAAGACAACGGTCGGGAAGGATTCTGAAGGCTATATAATTCAATGGTTCTTCAGCGAGCAAAGTACTTTTTGTAAGGGTGGTAGAGGGCTTCTTACAAACTGGGTCAATCAACAGAGGAAAAGGTTCTGCTTGATTGACAGTGTATAACGGGTCTGGGATCGGGATCCGGGTTGAATACTCTTGTTGTTTCTACCTTTGTGTCGTCGTTGTTTCATTTTGCTTGATAGGAAAAAATCAAATAAAAAGAGTCTCCTAGACCCCAGTACTGAGTCTAGGACGAGGAGTGACCAGTAGATTGGGAACCTCGTTAAAATTGACCGTGTTCTTTCGATTCCCTGTTGATCGCTTTCTTCTTCTTTTTCGTACCTTACTCTGGTTTGCACTTTCCCCTGCTTCAGAAACTCTGTTTGTTCTCAACGAAGAAGAGGAGTTCCAGAGCATTGCGGGCGGGCTTAAAATGTGGGCCTAATAGTTCTATTACTAACTCTAGTTACTTAATGGGCCACTTATATAACATTCTGGCCCAGCCCTTCACTTGATTAGTTTGTCCTGGAGAGAATCGCTTTATCCCTTCTTCTCCAGATAGCTCATTTCCATTTTTCCTCTTCTTCTTCCTTCTGTCGAACCCTAATTTCCTCCATCCATTTGCTTTAACAATTGGTATCAGAGCAGGTCCTTGAGGAAGGTAGCTCCTGCCAAGGCAAAGATCAAATGACCTCTTCTTCTTTCGGCCAAGCCGCATTAAATCATCCCCCTATCTTCACCGGTTCAAACTATACCGCGTGGAAGAAGAGGATGAAACAGTTTATGTGGGGTATTGATGAAGACTTGTGGTTGATTGTACAGGATGGGCCAATCGATGCCAAAGTGGAAGAGCAACATCTATGGTCAGCCGCTCAGAAGAAAAGTGCGCAGCTGAACCAACGGGCGATGCATGTGCTTCAATCGGCCATGAATCCAGATGAAGCTGACCAAGTTGAAAACTGTGAGACAGCCAGAGAAATCTGGATAGCTCTGGAAAGCACATATGAAGGTACGTCTAATATTAGGGAGTCTCGAATTGATTTATTGGTTCATGAATATGAGGCTTTCGGTATGCTTAACAATGAGAGTATTCATGAAATGTACTCACGATTCACTGTTTTGATCAATAAGCTGAAAGGGTTAGGAAGAACTTTTCAAACTAAAGATCTTAATAGGAAGATTCTTAGGTCGTTACCTAAGGAATGACTCTCTAAGCGTGTTGCTATTGAGGAAGCTAAAAACCTAGCAACCCTGCCTATTAACGAATTAATAGGGTCTTTACCGAGTCATGAAAATGTGATTAGACAGGTGAATCAGGATGATGATAAAAGAAAGAAAAATTTAGCTTTTAAATCCAAGGTTGTTACTCAGGATTCCGATAGTGATTCAGAGGCAGACTTTAACAGAGAATTCGCGCTTGTTAGCAAGAGATTTCATCGCATGTTGCAATATAAGAATGAAAGAAAATTAAGAACTGATGAATCACGAAAGCAAGGACAGGATTATACTAATAATTATTCTCAAGCTAGGCTGCCTTATCAGCAGACCAGGAAATTTGAGTCAGGTATACAGGAGAAAGATCCTCAAGCTTGTTATAAGTGTGGCAAGAATGGTCACATTCGGGCAAACTGCCCAATGACCCTGAAGGCAAAGGAAAGAGCAATGAAGGCCTCCTGGAGTGACTATTACTCCGAGGAAGAGGAAAATCCAGCAGATGAGGAAGCTTTTATGGCAAGCACAGATCAAACAAAAGACGACTCATCAGGTGAAAACGATCATAAATGGTATTTAGACAGTGGGTGCTCGCACCACATGTCTGGTAAGAAAGAACTGTTTTCCTCTCTTACTCCTAAAGATGGTGGTAAGGTTCTTTTTGGTGATGATGGATGTGGTCATATTGTGGGAATTGGTACTATAGGAGGGTCTCCTTATCCTGCTTTTCGTGATGTGCTTCTCGTAAAAGGTCTAAAGCATAATCTTTTGTCAATAAGCCAGCTTTGCAGCAATGGAAATCGAGTAGTTTTTAAATCTGATGCCTGCTTGGTTGAAAGGATAAATGACAGCAAGATTCCGCTTGTAGGGAATCGGGTTAATAATATGTATGTTATAGACTTACATAATCTTGAAGCCTTTCATGAAATGTGTTTTGTTGCTTCTTATCAGCAAGAGCTGTTGTGGCATCGTAAGATGGGACACATTAGTTTACCTAAACTGGTAAGTTTGTCTAAATCAGAGTGTGTCAAAGGTGTTCCCATTTTGAAGCAAAAAACCGATTTTTTCTGTGAAGTCTGTGTTGCTGGAAAACATACCAAGAAATCCTTTAAACCAAAAACTGATATAACTTCCCAACAAGTGTTTGAACTAGTTCACATGGACTTGTTTGGACCATGCACTGTGACCAGCTTGGGAGGTAAAAATTATGTATTAGTTCTGGTTGATGATTATTCTCGGTATACATGGGTTTTCTTTCTGACTCACAAAGATGAGGCAATTAAAAAATTTCAAGTGTTTGTCAAACAGTATTTGGATAAACTTAGGAGCATAAGAAGTGATAATGGTGGTGAGTTTGTGTCTGAAGAGTTTGAGAGTCTTTGTAATGACTCTGGGATAACTCATAGTTTTTCAGCCCCTCGCACTCCCCAGCAAAATGGAGTTGTTAAGAGAAAAAATCGTACTATTATCGAATATGCTCGCACCATGCTTCTCCAATACAATCTCCCAAAATTCTTCTGGGCTGAGGCTGTCAACACAGCCTGTTATATTCTAAATCGTGTGCTTGTTCGAAAGGGTCTAAAGAAAACTCCTTATGAGATCTTCATAAACAAAGCACCTAACATTAGTTACTTTCATCCTTTCGGATGCCCTTGCTTTGTTCTTAATACTAAGGAGCATCTGGGCAAATTTGATGCCAAGTCTGATGAAGCTGTTTTTCTTGGTTACTCTACAAGAGGACAGGCTTATCGTGTCTATAATAAGCGTACAAAAAAGGTGGAAGAGTCAGTTCATGTCAAGTTTAATGACTCTAACAGTGCTGTCAAGATGTCTGAACAGGATTCACTGTCATTCGATTTGATGGAATTAACAAGAGAAACAGTAGACAAAGAGAATGCTGCTGATGACTTACTTGAAGAGCAAAATAAGTTGCAAGCATCTCAAGATAAGAATTCTCGTACAGTGATTGATGAGCAACCAGAGGGAGTCAACATCATCAATGAATCTCAATCTGCAGCCCCTCCACATATTCAGAAACGCCATCCGATGGAACAAGTTATAGGAGACGTAAATGCCGGGATTCAAACTCGTGGAAACAGATATACTCCAGGTCAGTATGCCTATATCTCTCAAGTAGAACCTAAAAATTACAAGGATGCTTTAAAAGATGATGGTTGGTCTATTGCTATGACTGAAGAGTTAAATCAATTTGATTATCTGCATGTTTGGGATCTAGTACCCCGTCCTTTGGATACTACTGTTCTAGGAATTAAATGGGTGTTTCGAAATAAATCTAACGAAGAAGGTATTATTATTCGCAACAAAGCTAGACTAGTGGCTCAGGGTTATTTTCAAGAAGAGGGGATTGATTACGACGAAACATTTGCTCCTGTAGCTCATCTTGAATCAATTCGATTACTGTGTGCCTTCGCTAGCTATATGAATTTTAAGCTTTACCAGATGGATGTGAAGAGTGCATTTCTAAATGGTGTTATCCAGGAGGATGTTTATGTTGAACAACCTCTAGGGTTCATAGATAATCGATTTCCAAACCACGTTTTTAAACTTAACAAGGCCTTGTACGGTCTCAAACAGGCTCCTCGAGCCTGGTTTGAGCGATTAACCACTTTTCTTAAAAGTCAAGGTTTCGTACAAGGTAGTGTTGATAAAACCTTATTTACTAAAAGAGTGTCCGATGATCTTCTGATTGTTCAAATTTACGTTGATGATATAGTTTTCGGTTCTACAAATAAGAAACTTTGCTCTGATTTTTGTGATTCCATGAAAAATGTGTTTGAAATGAGCATGATGGGGGAATTGCAATACTTCTTAGGATTGCAAGTCAAACAAACTTCTCATGGGATTTTCATTAATCAATCAAAGTACATATCCAATATGCTGAGTAAATTCGATATGATTGCCTTGAATTCAAGTCCCACTCCTATGGCGACTAACATTAAATTAGATAAGGATGAGACTGGAACTCCAGTTGATGAATCCCTTTATCGAGGCATGATCGGCTCCCTGCTATACTTGACGGCCAGTAGGCCCTGATATACAACATAGCGTCTGTTTGTGTGCGCGTTTTCAGTCACAACCAAAGGAAAGTCATTTAACGGATGTTAAACGTATTTTTAGATACATTAAGGG